TTCCTTCTCTCCTTTTGTTGGCCGGAGTTCTGATAAAGCCTACAATACAAAACTCGGTTCTTCATTATAGTGTATGCACTTAGGGCAACACCAATCGGTTTAGTCAACACTGAACTCGAGAGTATTAGAGTTACAAACGGGTAGAGTAACTCGAGAGTTCGAGTCAAAGCTCGAATCACGCTCGAGCAATTCAATCGACAAAACGAGAGCGTCGTATCAAGAGGCTCGTAAGCTCGACAAGCCGCTCGACTTTTTATTTACATAAGTACCCTATATATTTTAATTATCAACATTAGAATGCTAATGTGAAATCGTCAATTTAAATTAAAAATAATGCTTTTATCTTTAAATTTTAGTTGTTACAATTTTGAGTTGAACGAGCCATGTCGAGCATCGAGTCGAACTCAAGCATTATTTTTTTTGTTTTTATGAGCCAAGTCGAGCAGCATTTTACATGGCTTGTCGAATTTGACTCGGTTAAAAAAAAGTCAGATATGCACTTGACAAGGTCCATGCTCGACTCGTCTCGTTTGCAACCCTACTCTAGAGTCAAACTCGAGTTCAATTTGCGTTCCACAAGTTATTTCATAAATATGAGTGTTCCACGAGTTGTTCGAGTAATATAGGCATAATTTATCTAGTTAAACGTCTTTAATGCAAATTAAATTCGAACTGAACTTGAAAGTTGATTGGGAACCAAATTTGAGAGAGAGAAAAAAAAAAAAAAAGTACTTGACTTAAACATCTATGAAAATTTTGATCCGGGACTTGAGGAAATTTGAGTAAATTTAGATCGTTTGTATATTTTTATAGAGTTGAGTCGTACCTTAAAAAATCTTGGCTCATGAAGCTCAGCAATAATTCAAAAATTGAGATTTTTTTGTTCAATAAGTTTATTGAACAACAAATTCTCTAGACATTTTACGTATAATATATAGGAAAAAACTACTTGTACAACTTTTTTGTATAATATTCAATGACAATATGATGTGGCATAACGTAGATGGTTGATATGCAAATAAATATATGGTTAAGATTCAAGTTGATGATAGTTTTAACTATGTTGTCACCTAATATTGTAAACTAAAATTGTACATGTAGCATTGCCCATACATATATTTATAGTTAAATAACTAGAGAAATACTTGTAGAAAAATAGTTAAATAAGTAGAGAAATACTTGTAGAAAAATGTTCTTGCATGTAGATAAATGTAGAAAATTTGTAGGTAATCTTGAGGTATTTACATATATATTGGTAGGAAAATACATGCCTAGAGAAAATTTGTTGGAAAATTCTAGATATTTACCAACAAACTATAGTTGTTGATATATAGCTACAAATTGTCTACAATGTATGGTATATAGCTACAAATTGTCTATTGGGAAATTCTAGATATTTACCAACAAACTATAGTTGTTGATATATAGCTACAAATTGTCTACAATGTATGGTATATAGCTACAAATTGTCTATAAATACTTTTCTAGTGTTCTTTCTATATTTCTATGTAAGAGTATTTTTTTTGTTCAAATTTATAAACTTTTGGAGGTATGTTGGTTTTTATTAATCCAAAACTATTTGTGAAACTAAAATCCATTCCCATCAATAATTCTCAATCAAGTACATGCGCGGAAGCTACCAGAGGTCATGAATTGGAGTTTTTCTAAACAAATAATTATTGATTTTCAGTTTCGTTACTCATCAAACCGAACATCCCATAGCATATACACTTTAAAGTCTATAACAATTTGATACTTTATTTATTCAAAACTAAATTAGTAGACAAATCTAAACATTTAATTTGTGTATATTGTCCAAATTAGTTATTTCTAACAAGTTATTTCATTAACCAACAAACAAAATTATGTCGGTAACATTGGTAGATATTTTGATATTTTCTTGCTATGTTGCTAACATATTTTGATATTTTCTTGCCGTGACCATTGACCATTGATGAACTTTTAAAATATAAATTTTCGTTTGGCAGAAATTGTATCTCGATTATGTTGTTGTAAGTGAGTTATATATCTCCAATGAAACAAATTATCATAATTTAAAAATTCAAATTTTAATATGTTATAGTATGATCAGTGAAATTTACCATTTCGTTGTAAAAATCCAACATAAAACAAAGCTCGATTTAAACTAAAATATTTCAACCATTCCAATGATAATTTACCAGCAGTAACATAATTGCCCAAGCTTCCTTTAAAAGTTTACCAGCAGTAACATAAGGCCAAGCTTCATTTAAAGAATTTGATGGATTGAATGAGTAGAGCTCCAGCATTAACGAGTCGAATTATAAAAATAATATACAAATTCAAACTTTAACGAATTGTGCTTATGAGCAGCTCGTTTCATTTAACTACTCTAGCAATAGGTCAATAAAAATAATATACAAACTCGAACTTAAATGAGTCGTGCTTACGAGCAGCTCGTTTCGTTTAACTACTCTAGCTCAATAGGCACCAAATTGACAACTCTAATATGATGACCAATATTTTATCACATATAATTACATCTTATTAACCTTTACAAAAATTGTTTGGGATTAATATGTGGTCATGCCCAAAATATATAATTCCATGTAGGGGCGAAACCATGTATAGCATTGGAGAGGCGCCGGCCCCTCAAAAAAAAAAAAAAAAA